TTAAACAAGAGACTTACTTCGTCTTGAGCCTAACCTGGACGCCTTCCCTAATGGGTTCCCATTCAGTTGATGAGTCTAACCTCCGTGGCAGTGTTTGCGTTACCCTTTTGCCGGTCATGGCAAGGAACATTGGGATGTTTGAAGCGGTTAAGTACTTGCCAAAGCAGCTTTTGAGACGAATCCCGTTCGTTTCTTCTACGATCTCCACCGTCCATCTAGCGTTCATAGACCGCCCGTCTCTGTCCTGGCTCACGGAATCTTCGTCTTCTTCCGCTAGAAGGTACTTGTCGTGGTAGCTACGTAAACGCACGGTTTCGGCTTTCTTGAAGATCTCCATTATTGTTCTGTCGCATCAAAATACCGCAATTTTCACAAAAGAATGTCTTAACAAAATGTATACGGGGTTCGTTAAGGCCATGCACAAAACGGAAAAGATCAAAATGCTTATAATCTTTCCTGCAAATTTCATCAAAACATTTATGTTTGAATTCGAAAATGGTATCAACACGAGTTTACATACCTGAAAACAGAGATCTAGAAATGGCCGGAGCAGCGAATTTCCTCAGATTTTACCTTTCAACGATTTGATTGAAGATCATTCATGCGAAAGATGTTGAGGTTCTTTCTTTGATTTGGATTAGAGAAAAATAAGGGGTTACTTTTTCTTGTTATTTGTGGTATTATATTTCAAAGAATATTTGAGGGCATATTAGGGAACTAATACGTATATAGCTACTTATTTTTGTAGAGAGATTTCATTACATCTGTATGACTATATGGGTGGATTCCGCGGGTAAACATCAGACCGTTTTTCTCGTTAAAGCTTTTTGTCAAAGTGAACTCTTTACCGTTTGATTATTTTAGCAACTCAAAATTTTAGATGGTTCAAAAAAAAAAAGGTGTTATCTCAGTTTTCTTGTTTTGGCTACATGACTGATAGTGTTGTGTTCTTGGTTTTTGAAGCGGGGAGAAAGACTTATTTTGGTTTGGTAATGAAGAAATGCAGTGGCATCGGTTCTTGTCGATTATGTATCTGATTTTTCTCCATATATGTAACATTTGAAGAACCCTATAGAATATACTCCCTCTGTTTCATATTAGTTATCATTCTAGACTTAAATTTTTGTTTCATATTACTTAATTTCGCTGCCTTAGTTCGCAAAACTGATCAGACTTATCTCCATCTTTGTCTCAACAATCATAATTCATAGTGGCCCCAACTTGCATCTCTTGACATGAAGTCAGAAACAATATAACGTCAAAAGAGAACATGAAGTCAGAAACAATAGAACGTCAAAAGAGAAACGTCACAGCAACAACCGTAGAACATAAACAACATCACAACCCAAATTAA